CACGAGACAAACGTAATATTGGAGCCGGACAACGAGCTGGTTTGCTTACAAAGTACAGCTTTTTTTAAATTAATACATGCTAAAAAGCTGTGGCACAGCAGCCGGTATAGAATGGGAGATAACGAATACAAAGCGACGAGGAGCTTAGGAAGTTATGAAAATGACGAGGCAAGACGTTTCGGCGCATTAAGTGGTGATCGCCTTGCTAATTCGGCAACGCAAATGTCACGGAAAATGAGGAAGTGGACGAAGAAGGCTTGAAAATGCGAGGAAGAGTACGCGAGCATTTCAAACGGAATTCTCAGAATTTACCTGTAGTGGCAGCATGGCACTGTGATAAGTGTTAAAGGCCGGGGATTGCAATCCGCCAATTCACTTGTTTCGATGGGAACTGGAGCTTGCCAAGGAATCGCTAACATCTTGCCGTTGACAAACCTTGGAGAAGGAGAACTGCTTTTCAGCGCCTCAAACAAAGTGAACTTGGCGGCGTTTGACTTTCGCATGTTCTGTATGTTTCAGGTGGGATGCAGTAAAGCTGAACAGTATGTTCTGTCCTGATCGGGTTGGCGCCATCGATCCACGCTATGGCCCATGTGTTGTACCACGAAAAAACGCGCATGTTTAGCAGCGATTTCTATCCGGCCTACCGCAATTAATTTATTTGTAAAATTCACTGTTTTGTCAGACAAAAATTGAAAAGTTCGGTGATGAAACTGATAAAAATGTACCTTTCGCTGGCGCGTTGCTTCCTTTTCCGGCAACCATTTTCGAAGAGGCAGAGCACATACACTGAACGTGTGGTGCAGTATAGCTGGGCTTGGCGTAAAACAGCAGCGGCGAAGCAGCACCCCAGGATCGAGATGGCGTCAGTGCATCCTCGTATAGCAGCACCTGCAACAACATTTGTAAGCGCAGAAACACTGGGCATGAAAGTGGGAAATGTCAGGGGCGCAGAAAAAAATGAGCAGCAACACTACAGGCCAGCTCCACTAGTGCAAGCGCCAAGAAGGGGACTCTCTCTACAAGAAACACGCTACTGCCTATTCACCGCTGTCCGGGCTGCTGCTTTCGAGCATGCAGACGAATGCCCCCAGCTGATATCCCGCAAAATACATATCTTTTCCGCAAGCATCCCAGAGAAGGGCGTTGAACGGGGCCAGCCCCATCACATCTCTGCCCGCTGCTCTCCGTGACAGATATTCACCAACCACTCCCCTAGCAGCTATATTCAGAAAACATCGCACTACATCCTATCCGGCTG